AAATGCGTACAACTTTTCCTTTCAATGACCTTTATTTGACTTAATTAGAACAATAAATTTTTTCCAAGGCTTTTTTCGTGTGTGTTAAAATACCAAATGATATGCTGCCCTCAGAATGTTGTTGTTATTATTAATGCTGATAATATCCCCAATAAGACATATTTACTTTTATGGCTCATTTTGGAATAACAGGTCATTGGCTTAAAGTCCTTTTGAAAATAAGCAGAATAAACGAACATAATTTCTACACCAGAGACAGCAGCTGCACCCTTAATGGAACCTAGTCACTAAAGACAACAAAAGCAAAGATGAAACTCAAATCAGACACCAGGGCACAAAGCACAGCTGACAGAAGATGCCACAAAATGTCCTTTCACTCACCGAGGGAACCAGATGCGTTTCCATGTATATTGTATTTTTAAAAGCAATTATTTTATATATGGAATGTAATTTAAGAAAAAGAAAACTCCCTCTATCTGTAGACTTATAAACAGGAAGCACAGAGGGGTGCCTTTGCAGACATGTACCCGCATGCATAAATGCAAGCCTATTGTCCAAAATCCTTTCCTGTCTCCTAAACTTGAAAAATAATAAATAAATAAAACTAATTTAAGGCAGTGGTGAGCTGAAAGGTCTCAGATACAAAACATGAACATCATCAGCTTTCTAGTAGATAAAATTGCGCCATGCATGATAGAAAAGATGACGTTCCCTATGGAAATCTATTTTGAGATGCAACAATTAAAAGGCAACTGAGAGCTCAAAACCAAGTTCAACCAAAGAGAAACAGAGCCCAAGCAAATGTACAGAAATGGACAAAGACATTGGAGAAAGAGGGGATCTGTGTTCTACCGATACTCCAGAGCAGCAAATTCATCCTGAATTCAAGCCAGTGATGTGCCATGAGGTCACGCAAGGGACCAGGCAGAAACCATCGGCCAGAAGAAATAGGAACAATGTGAAAGGCAGGTGTGAGTTGTGGAAGTGGTGACCCTGTGTACCTTGCTGCCATGAGGCAGGATGCTCTTGCGGGCTTTCTGCACAGGCTGGCTGGCTCACATGGCTCTGTTTAGAAGGATATCAGACAACAGCTGTGCCACACGGGCTACAGCCCGAGCTGAGTCACATCTAGTAATGGTTCTGAACTCATCCTTAGACGACATGACTAGAAGGAACTGAGAATCAATGGTGGAGACGTACCTGAATGAGTATTCCATTTCATTCCTCGGCAGTAAATCTTCAGCTTTGCACAACGTAAATATTGACAAAGATACACACAGGCACCCTATTTGAAAGCCTGACTGCATAATTGCATCTAATGGAGAAAAGCGGGCTCCGTTTCGGTATGCTGGGTCATTGTTTGGCTCAGTAACCGATGCGTCTGAGACCCAAAGCATATTCTAGTATAACCGACAGCACAGAAATCTCCACTGATGTCTTGCTTATTTCAGGGTATACATAAAATAACCCCAGTTTGCCCATGGGATACAGGCGGTTGTCCCGTTCCCATCGTGGGGTGGTCTGTTCTGCTCCCGAAACTGTGGCACCATTAGATTCATGACCCAGCTGCCGAACAGATCAAATTATAAGGCAGGATATTATCAGACCAAGGTCATAAAAGTATTACTGATATTTCAAGC